TGGCGGAGGGTTTTTGTTGGGATATCCCTAATTTTTTTGTTGATACCTTATTATTTGTAAGTCATTGTTACGTGACTAGAAATAAGTAATAACGTGCTTTAAGATTGAATAAATTTTTTCAAAGCACTTCCAGAAATTTATTATGGTAGTTACAGTCGAGTACAAGACAAGAAATACGTGGTTTTAAATTTTAATAGCATAATATCGTGATTGAGAGTGAATGTTGCCACAGCAAAGAGAGTAGTGTGATGGTTAAGCCGCAGAGGATCGGGGGAATAATAAATATGAACTAAGGCTAAAAAATATAATTTAAGAAATTACAAAATAATCAGAATTCAATTTTTTTTTACATAATGTATTATTTTCAAGTCGGAATTTTTAACCATTTTTATTAATTATTAATTATATTATACTTTATACCTACTTATTTTTTTTCAAATTTTTATTGTTTCAAGTAAGTAATTCAGTTGATTAAACATATTATACATTTATAATCTATTATGTTTATGAAAATAAAAATTATTTTATATATTTTATTTAAAAAAAAAGGAATAATAATACCTAAATAATATTATATTATTGAATTCAATATTATTAGTCAATAATTAAATTTTAAAAAAAATGGGGGGAAAATGTCCACATAAAAAATATATCGGGGGGAAATGTCCTACTACACCGAAAACAGTCGGGGGAGAAATGTCCGGTGGGAAGATGTCCATTTACCCGGGGATCAAAACCGTTTCAAATTTTAACGGTTACGCGGTTTGGGTTTGAGAACGGTTTTCTACATTTTATGGTTTTGGTTTAGGATCGGTTTTTCCATTTTTTTTTGGTTTTGGTTTCGGTTTCAAAAAGGTTTTTCTATGTTCCTAGCTCAGCCGCATTTTCTCGCTCGTTGTGTTTTGCAGTCTCCGCCGCCGCCGCCTTTGCGATTAGCCTTCCTGCACTCTGCAATCGTCGTGATACCGTCGGGGCGGTATCGTTGCCCACGCCGGTACAGCTAGCCACCGCCGTCGTCGTCGTCCATTGGCTCCTGATGTGACCGAAGCAGCCGAGTCGTCTTGATGGTCTCTCGTGTCGGCAACCGTGAGCTCGTCTTTCTGCGGGTGGCCGGAAAACGTATAGGGCAGAGGTGGTCTAACTTGTTTTGATTAAGATCTACTGAAGGTATATTTTTTCTTTTAGGATCGACTAATGTAAAAAAATTATTTAATATTTATAATAATAATAATATTATAAGAATAATTAATAAATTCTAACTATGGGGATCGACTTAGAAATCGTCCAAGATCGACCAGTCGATCGCGATCGACTGTTTGGCCACCCCTGGTATAGGGTGACTTAAAGTGCTCTTTCACGTACCACTCTCCCGTCGCCGCCATCTTGTCTTGGTGTCTTCATCTGGGGGGAGGGGGTTTACTAAGCTGCTGGCTTCACGTCCTTCGCGCCCTTCCACGTGGAGGCGAATAACCGCCTTGTCCTACCACGTGGATTTTTGCTCGGTACTGCAGTGATGGTTGTGTCAGGTGCGTTCTTTCCGTCCAGCATAGCCGTGTCCCTTTCTTCGATTCCCACAGATGGAATGGTGTCTGCAGCCTTTTCATGTTGTACCTGCACTTGGTCTTCGGCCTGCTGTAGTCCGTGACCCTGCTCGGCTGGTCCGATCGTCTCGGAGGGCGCCAGGACTACTGCTGCAGCGTCTCCGCTGCCTACCTCGATCGTGTATTCGACAGTGTCATGTTCACCAAACAACCATATAATGACGCCTGGTACAGCGTCTTCGTCCTCGTCGTCATCAAGTTTTTTTTGTACATTATTAACTTCTAGCGTTAGCGGTTCTTCATTTTCCATTGGCATTACCCATGTATCAACGCATTCAACTAAATTTATCCGTGATAAATTTCTTGAGCAAAGTCACTAGTGGCCATTTTGCTTTTTGGTGTTTTCAGGTCAGACATTTCATTGCAAATGAACTCGAAGTTCAATTCAAAATCAGTTTATTCGAAAAATTCAAACATTTCCCAGACAACGGGTACACAACGACGCGAGTATATGATGGTCGTTGCGAAGTCGTTTGTTCTAATCAACAATCGTTAGGATTTCGGGCCCGTTTATTTCAAGTATAAGAATTGATAAAATAAACCTTCAGTGAAATTTGCATGTATCTAGTCATTCGTTTTTGAATTACATAAAAATAAGAAAATCGTTACATGGAAAATCGAGTGAATAATAAATTTTGTAAAAATATGAATTTAAAATTTAATTTGCAAATGTTCGTAATTTTTACGTATTTTGTCAATATTTGAACTTTAAATGCTTATAACAAATAACTGTGACTAAGGATTTTTAATATTTTTCAAATGTCAGTGTAACAATATATTAGGAGCCTTGTATTAAATTTTCAAGTATTTTTACTCAACAAATAAAGTTTTATTGACATTCATAGAAAAAAAAACTAATAAAATGGAAAACTAAAAATGTCCCTAAACAGTTCAAAACATATCAAAATATTTTGAAAATTTAATCATGTATAGAAATTGGAAATATAAACAACCAGTGAAAATTTCATGTATATACGTTCATTTGTTTTAGAGTAACAACAAAAACCAAAATCGATTTCGTGGAAAACCGATTGTGAGTAAAAATTCCCGTTTTTTCTTAATTTTTATACATTTATATTAGACATAACCATAAACTATATTTTTAATGATAAAATAATGCATGTTAAAATGACAAAATCATTTGACCGCCACTGTCTCAAACAAATATGGGCGTATGGAAATATGGAATCCAAGTATGGGGTTCTGCAAAAATCTCAAACATAAACCGTTTTCAGCGCTTTCAATCCAAAATCCTCCGTGTCATAACTATAACGGCCTTCTATGTATCCAACCAGACCTTACATATAGTGATCTTGCCATCTCGTCCGTCCACGATGTATCTAGAACACTTTACAGGCGACTCAACTTAAATGTCCAAAACCACACAAATCCCCTAATCAAAGGATCTGCTTCAAAAAGTATACCAGGTAACCCCAAAAAAAAAAATTAAAACGTCGATGGTGTCGGGACCTACTAATCTAGTTAAAATTTAAAATATTTGTATAATACTATTGTAAGCGCATATACTTAGGTCTTTATTGGAAGGCTTCTTTAATTTGTCTTTTCAAGCCATAAATTCATCTACCAAATTTACTTATTGTTCTAGCTAGTAACAGATTGTAAAATATATTATAAAAATAAAAAAAATTTAAATTTATTTCTCGTATGGTTTAATCCAACACTTATACAGTATTGAAATTAGTTAGGTAATACTATAGCAACAACATTTTTTTACGATATTTTCGTCGCATACGAAAAATAGGACTTGAAAGTACTTGAACATTTTTGGTTGTAACTTTTAAACCAACCAACCAATCTGCTTGCAAGTTCCTCCTTCCCATATACACAATATTTCTGATCGATTGATACCTTACACGTTCAGCCGTTTGCCCTGCACAGAGACTCGATGAATTGGCACAAATTAGCACGGTTTTTCAATGTTATAAATCTGACTCCTAAATTCTGTTAATATACGTTAGTGGCTACTCGCTTTTTTTTTTTACTTAGCTTCGTGCCATTGCCGTCGTGCCATTATACCGTCGCGCTGGATTTCGTGTGTACGAACTACGAATAGATTTAATAAGACACTCGTTTCGTATATACGGCATGATTGATGATTCACCAAGCATGCTCAGTGCTCACCCTCATTTTTCTTCAACAATGCAGTTATTCAAAAACCGATTTTTGGAATTTTTAAATATATACTCCTTTAATTAAATACCTATATTTTAAAATCCTTGAGATTATTTTGTACTGTTTAAGGAGTGTCCTGTGAAGATGTGAACGTATGTTTTTCTATTGAGAACTTTTTAAACTGTAAATTATTCTGCGGATATTTTTTCTGAAAATGTTGGCGTATTAAAATAAAAATAAACGATAGTGGGTTATTTTAATGAGTTAAATAAACTTTGTGTCTTATATTGGTGATTTTAATATTTTAGTAATTAATATTAGTTAATCGATTAACAAATTATGTAATTTGTAAAATTGATCCATGTAAAATAAATACTAGAACCAATGTTACATCTATTTTATATTCCTGTAAAATCATTTTTGAGAACTACTATCCTTATAGGCTATAGCTTATTTTAGTAACTGAAAAACTACTCTATCGAATTATGAATGAGGTACGCCACTAACATTTGGCACTAAATAATTTACCTAAGTGGGGTTGTCATTTGAAAAACAGAACATTGTGTCGCCACAAGACTTTCTTAAGTATAGTACAACAATTCTCAACATTTGAAAATAATATTATAGTCTTTACGTAGGTTCATTTAAAAATTCTAATTTTAATAAATTCATTGTTAAAAGAAGAAATGGGGCTAGCATATTTATTGCTCGAAGGATCACCCTGTATAATGATATAATAATTAATAATACAATATAATAGACGAAAAATTGCATTGTCCGGGCACTCGTGTGTATAAAGTGTTGTTATTGCATACACGTATATAGTGTACGGCTACTCCTGGTGGGAGTAAAACTCGCGGGCCTTGCACGATGTGCGTTATATGCGCGAGTAATGTAACGTTTTACGTGAGTCTTGCGCTTACTCGCCTACCACCACACAATAATAATACATTATAATAAAATACAATATACATATAATACAATTATTATTATTATTACTACTAATATACAAACGCATATAATATTATATATAATAGGACCACAACGCGTGGTTCCCTCGTAGAACTGTCAGTGGCGTTCCTCCACAAGTGTCCGGCAGCGACGTAGCAGAATACCTACATACCTAATATTATAGCTATCATAGCACCCGCTGCGGCCGACCGACGAGGGCCCCGAACAATATCGTCGCCGTCGCCGTATACCGCGGTCACCGTAACGTATATAATAGTAATACAAATAATATACTATACTATTGTATACATATATATGGCGTTAACATCACGATACACGACGATGGAAGCGTCTTCGTCGTTGTCGTCGGCGAAGCGGCCCGCGGCCGTCGTAACTTCCGCGTTGCGCTGCTGGTCGTACACAGAAGCGGAGCGCCAGCATCTGTTCAGGGTGTCTCGATTGTTCATCACGTCCTATTACGTGTACGTGTCGTACTACGGGCTGTTTGTGTTGGATCTGAACGGCGTCGATCATCCCACGTGGGGTAATCTAGGTTCCAACTGGTGGTGGAAATGTGTCTCCGTGTGGAATCTGGTAAGAGACTGCTGCTGCTGGAAAGTGGTGTTTATTGTTTAATTCGATATTATATTATCAATACGAAAGCCGTTATTTTCACATAATGATATTTCCCTAACTAAGCAAGCAATAATTTTGACAACCACGTGTACCAAGATGTACAGTAATAGGTAGGTACCTATATACATATTCTTTCATACGAAACGTCAAATTGTGGAGAAAATAAATGATAGGTACGTAGCTAATACCACGTTAACATCGTAAATTAGGCCCTAAAAACTCTAAAAAGATGTTGAAATATGCTCTTAACGATTTCGTGTTTTTTGCTCACTGCATTATGAGAAATCTAAACGTATTTTAGCGTAAGACACGATTTCTAAAAAAATATGTTAATGCATTCATAAATAAATATGGAACATAATGTAATTAATATAGGATTTATTTGGAATATTATATTATTCAGGCAAAATAATTAAAGCAATGCAAACGAATATTGATTTTTTTATTGAAGATATTTGAATAATATTATTATCAGTTAAGTATGATGTTTATATTAACTTAAATATAAAATTAAAATTTTTTATTATAACAGTATTTTATGTTTTAAAGATTTAAAAGTAAATATTAGTGTTGTTACTGATTAAAAGTGTATTTCAAGAATAAAACTCTATAGGTACCATCTAATATATAGAATATATATATTATAGAATAATATTACATTATAAATTGAATTCTCAATTTAAGTGTTTTTACGAACTTTTAATAATTATTTAACTAAACAAGTTTAAATACAAGTGTATTGTAATGATATTAAATTTAAACATAAAACTCCTGTTTAATACAATTTTTTTACGGTAGGCAGTTGATGATTTATGTAATTTTTATATTAATTCATAACTGCAGTTATCACTTATGTGTCAATGGGCATAGTATAATAGTTGGTATGTATTATATTAAACTAATATTCATTCAGTTTCTTTTTATTCACGATAAATAATTTTTAATAGGTATATTAGCCATTAAAGACATAAAGTTATATTCTAATACTTTAATAGTATTGTAAAGTTATTATAGTAATAATATAATATTATTTATAATAAATGACAAATATGTAGCTATATTATTAAATACAGGTAACAAATAACAATTTGACTTTTATTCATCAGTGGTTGAAAAAAAAAATGTATTGATTTAGAATAATTAAGAATTATGTATATTATATTAAGTTATATTTATAAGTAATTATAATAATAATAATAAGGATAGAACAATTTATACTTAACATGATACCTATGTTGTTTTAAAATTTAAAATTATATAATTTACTTAATTTTCTATAGGTATCGGGATTTAACAATACATTAATATTAATTCATGATTTCATATTAAACAAATTCCAAATAATTAAAATTACCTACTTATTTATTACCCATTTATTTCCCTCGTATATCAGTTAAACCCTATTTTAAATTTTAATAGGTGACACAATAATAATTTTAAAAAACATTCGCATTATAGTTTGATACATTTGGTGTATAGAAATATATTTCTATTATTAATTTAAAAAAACAACATAAATTCATAGTCAAATATTGATATATTTTAATCTTTAATTATCTGCGTCATTAGAGAAATGTAGTATAATAGGTCATAAGAACAACTTATGCCATGACCTGTAATTAGAAAATGTAGTAAACTTAAAGTAAATCGTCGTTAATTGATGATAAGCTTAATATAATGTATGGGTACAATTTATCTCCTGTAAATATGACCACCTATATGACTATATGAGTAGCCTTATTATCACGCTATGTTTACGTCACTTAGTTATGTATACTGTGGTTATTTTGAACAATAGACCTAAGTACTGATTTTTTTCTAGTAAATAAAAAACAATCTTTAAATAACAATTCTGGCCGTCTCCAAAGAATTACTATAATACTTTATTACTGTATTTAACTTATGCCATATAAATAAATTAATAATAGTTTATTATTTTTCACACACAATTCTAAGCTTAACAAAATAGGTACAGGTACCTAACTAATATATATATTATACACAAATCCAATACCTATATAATTAATTAGAATGCGCTGATTTGAAAACTAAATTATTCCGTATTCGTATATTTATTAAGGAAATGATTAGAAATGATTATTAGTTACTACTTTTAGAGACTACGTCCTATTTCAAAATAATATATATAATATGCAGTATTAAATTTTAATCGTCTTCTGTTATTAATGTATTATATTTGAGTATTTGACACCGTAACAATGTCAAAAATTAATATTCAACGTATATGGTATCGTCATGACGTCATGTATATAATATAATATTAGTAAATTCAGAGTCAAACGTAAAAGACTTTAAAAAAATGCAACCTATCTGTAGGTACCTACATACTATTGTATGGTTATTCGCTGACTGCACGTCCGGCTTTATAGTTTGTAAAATTGAAACCCGCTAAAGTAGGTGAACAGACGGAATGAAAAAAAAAATAATAATAATCAAGCTAAATCAGCGATATTTGTTCTATACAGTTAAAAGAACGGAGTTTAAAATTGTATACCATATAAACTGATATAATATGATTTTTCTTAATTCTACTTCAATCAAAACAAATGCAATATTTGGTAGATATTAGCGTATATTATAATTTATACTAGTTATCTACATCTGATGTACCTAATAAATTTAATCTACAGGTATACATGATGTAATAAGATAATACTTTTTCGATATTATCATTAATTACTCATAATTATTAGTTCTATCTATTCAATAAAAGTGCCGCCCCTGAATCTTTCACGACCAATCAACATAAGTTTCGTCTAATTTCATCACGATATAAATATAAATATTATAAATTAATTCTAACGGATGAATTAGTATAATTTAACATGTAAATATATATACCTAAAAGCATTCAAAATGACAACGTCACAGAGTTTATATGTGTTATTAATAAGTAATAAGTAAAAATATCGAAAATAATAAAATTTATGCAGTTGATGGACAATAATGCAATATATCAATTTTTTTTGTTTTTTTTGATATCTTAGCATACATATGTATAAACAGTTAATAATATTTAATAGTAAATTACGAGCGTTTTACGTTTAACCCTACCTATCTTCTTCTCAACTTTATTCTAGTGTTGTGATTCACTTATCGTTTTACTTAGGTATCATATAAAAAAAAATATATCTATATTTTAATAATTATAATTTATTTATTAAAAATACATTAAAAGGTTCAATATTGTACATTTTACATAATGTGCAGATAAATTCAGAAATATATAGGTAACGAGTAGTTTGAACTAAATTGAACATCAAACTGTTACTGTCTTATTTAAAATTTTCAGATCTTCAACAAGTATATATAGTTGTGTATAGTGTAAACAAACTCAACAGTCAAACATTATACAACATAAATACATTATAAATTATAATTTAATAATACGTAGTTTTTCAATGAACTTCATAGGTTATAAATTCGGTTATATCTATATAATATAGGCAGTAGCCCAATTTGAATTAGAATTTGTCCGAAACTCTACAATTCTACCTACATCATGCGTTAAATACCTAATTCTATTTTAAAATGTATTATTTAAGTCCAATACATAATATATGAATCATACATTTCTATTTACAAATGATAATACCATTCGGATATTCGGCGTAGTGACTCAATTTTATTATTGTCGTGGTAATCAATTTTCACAAAGCAAAGCATTTTCTTTATCCTGGTATTAAATTTCATAATATTATAATATGTTTTTGATCTGAGAAATTTTCCGCATTCGCCACTCATCCAATAAAACAGTCTATTATATAACTATGTACAACATCCAAGGAATTTTTAATTTTTTTCGAAAAATGTGTAAAGATTATATTAATAGCTGGTATTATTATCTATTATAAAGTTAATTACTCATTTTCTCAAAAAGTAATAAAGTTTTCATAATTTTTTTTTTCATAATTTGGGTTCATATTACTAATAATATTGAAAAAATATAGTTATTGCCTTCATCGTTATCATTTTTTAAGTTTTTTACTTTTTTAAATAAAAGAATACATTTTTAATTTCATATTCAAAAGCAGAATATTTTACAAAGAATTCAATGCCATATAAAAATGTTGAACACAAGTTGTAAATTATTAACAATTGTTCTTACAATTAGATAAAGATGAGCTACAAGTAGTAGACTAACGTTTTTCGCTGTACCTTTGTTATTCTATTACCACTCATTCATCAAAACTTTAAATGCTTATTCAAGTTATTATAGTAATGAGTGTTATGATTAATTAAACATCTCGCTTTAAATTCTATTTTTATACATTTGAATTATCTGAAAAAATTCTAATTGGAAAATGAAATTAAAATGGGTGGTGTCTTTAAAAAAACTAAAAATTATAACAATAAAAAAAAGTAAAAAATGTAATTATAATTATTTATATTCTTCAAATTTTTTTTTTTTTTTTAATGACGTGAAATAATGTAAGAATTACTAAGAAACTATTTCCAAATACATAAATACTTTTTGAAAAATTCATTGTTATTAACCTTTCCAAGAATCATCTTGTAATATAATTAATACATATCAAAAATTGTTAATATGATGCAGTATGATTTCATAAACTGTATATAATGTTCAATGACACATGTTTTCAAAATCATGAACATTTGACATTTCCGTATTTACCACTGATAGATCATAACTTTGACTGGGAATGCGATAATGTTTTGACTTATAGTAGACAATTATGGATAGGTACTGTTTCAAAAATCTAAGGATATAATTGGTTTTTATTTTTTTTTTTTTTGAGTGGGTATTCATGTTTTCCTCAATATGACGGAGTTTACTATGTCTATTATCTTCGATAATAATTAGGCACCAGGGTCTTTAATAGTTTAGCATCCTCATTCCTCCCTTATTGGATGTGTTATATATTTTATTACGTATAATATTATAATAAACACTCGTTGTGCTCTGTTGTCTGTCTGAAAATAATTGTAGTCACCATTTCAGATTTATATATATCCACGCCTGTTAGTCACTGAATACTGTCAAGTGTCAAAAATTCAAAGGTAGTAATGAAATTGACTATTTTAAGTGTATGAAATGATATTATCTGCTATTCTTTTTTGACAACGTTCAATAAATATAGGAAATTTAACTAAGATTTTAATTAAGAACAGGTATGACTAAGGCATAATTATATAGTCAATGGTAGATGGTTTTTAAGAAATGTGTTTATAAAGAAGCAATTTGTTTATACAAACTAAACGTATACAACTAAATTAATCATCATTCAAATTTATTTTCAAAATTGCAGACTACTATAAGGTCTTTTAAGTTACTTATTTTATTACTATCACTACAGGCACCCTCATTAGTCTAACATTTCAATATTCAATTACATTTTTAAAACCCATATGGTCGTCAAATGATACTAGTAACTTAAAATAAATTTAAGATCCAAACGTTTTTGTTTGCATGGATGAAATTCCGCATTTGTGTCTCTATCCATGTTTCAAAACTAATAGTTAAAGTGTTAAGTGTGTAGTGTCTAGTATGTAGTTTTAATTAATATTAATTTGCATAGTTTTATATAATTTTATTTTATTTATTCATGAAGTATCTACAACCTACTTAAATATGTTAAAAAAAACAACTTATATGATGAATTATAAGCAAGGTTTAAGTGACATAATTCAAATGTATCTTTGCGGAGAGAGGCCCAAGAAATTACTAAACAATATTTCTAAAAAAAGCACACTTTGTAAAACAAATATTCTTTTTTGTGGTCAAAATCTAAAAGGTTAATGAGGATCTATCTCCCACATTTTCAGCTGGTAAGCCCCTTAGGGCTAAGCAATTATTTTTCACCGGGACTTAGGGGGTGCCAATTTTTTTTTTTTGCACTGGGGCTCAAAATGTCTAAATGCGGCACCGTGTATTACATTCAATTATTTTTATTTTGTAAAAATAATATAATACGTATATATGCCTGTAAACATTGACGTGTCACTTGGCGACCAAGTTGAGCCCAGACTCTATAGTCTATATCTAATTATCATTGAAGATAATAATAATACCTATGCAAATTGTATAGGAACGTTCACAAAACTTGATAAGTATATAACATCAACAAACTTCTAAGTTTTAGTCAATCTTTATTTAATTAAGTCCTTGTATAAAAACTGAAGTCGTTTTAGACGTTTCCTAGGGAATGTAATTATATTATAAATTATCATTTATCATCATTACCAGTAACATATTTATACAAAATACAAATAAAAATTTAGGTATACCTACCTATATTATGTTTATTACTGTCATTACCGATTATAATATTATAAATCATATAGTGTGATGTATTATGTAATAACATAGTACATATTATATTTAGAATTATTATTAAACCGGTACCTGTAGTCTTAAAAAGTATCATATCATACAGTATTCTGATATGTTATGTGTACAATGTACATATCTATATTAATTATAGTATTAGGTATATTATGATGGTTGTATATCATAATATATATAATATAATGTAGATAGTAGATAATTATATAGGTTTCACGTTGCATTCTTTTCTATAAAATATAAGTGAAAAAGAACCAATCTAATCGCATTATTATGTATTATTCATTTTTTGATCTTTCTAACAATAAGTTACATAGGTAAACATTTTTTTTTTAATTTCAATGATTCAAAAATCTGTTAAAATGGTACAATAAGCGATGACTGATGAGTGATGAGAGATGACATTTATTTATTTAGTATATTAAGAAGCTTTATGACGTGGGGGAAGTACCATCCTGTAATGACAGCACTTAGGCATGAATTTATGTGCTTATGGTGTTTAAATTATAAGGTCTCAAGGCCATTGCAACAACTAACTTGTGCCTCCTGGGAGGGTTTCCGGGAATATATATTTAAAATTGAATTATAAATTATTTGTAAATCTGTTATAACTATAAAAATCTTAGTTTTTATAATTTATATCTATCTAATAAAATAATTTTGCTTGCCTTAGTATTAATTGTATTTATGTATAATGCAGTTTAATTTACATTTTTTACAGATATTGCAAATTTCTTACTTTATTTATTGCACGGTTTTCATAGACTTTGCCGATTCAGGCCCTGGAAAGTCGTGGAAAAAACTTAGATTACAACAGAGCAAGAAAATAAGAGATTTCATATTTGTCAGCCTTGTATTTCCAGTAACAATTGTAAGTATTATTTATTTGACTAAACAATTGAAACTTACTAGGTATGTAATTTATTGAAGAATTTTTTTAATTAAAAATGTATAATTATGTGTTCAGTATTATGGTGCATATGTATTATGAAATATGAATAGGCATCTAAAAGATGTTTGAAATAATAATTATGATATATTGTGTAGGTACCTAAATGATAATATTTTAATCATAATAAATACAACTAACGTATCTTTTTTAGAATAGGTTATATACCCAGTGGCATATATAGGGGGGAGGTCCCCTAGGCCAGAGCCCATACTGAAATGTTAGGTTCAATTAAAGCATTGCATGTATATTTACACTGTTTACAGTTTTTCACCATGATTAAGTTAGCCGGTTGATTAAAATCGTTTTTGAGGAATCAACAATTAAATGTTACGATTGTCAGGACTTACTTTGATGACTTATTGACTTTGATGTTAAATTCATAGTAAGATAAAATTAAAATATATAAATGACACTGTCAATATTTTTTAAAAAAGAATCAAAAAATTAATTTTACATAATAATTATAAAATTAAATTGCTCAATTTTTATTTGTACTGTATAATATGTCATAATTATAACCTCAAAGCTCCCTAAAAAATGTATAGATATGGTTATGTTAGTCTTGCTATGCTTGACTAGTGATAACTGATAAATTGACCCATAGTGAAAATAATTCGTATATAATTAATATGTTTCAAACGGTATTGATGAATTAAAGTTAAAATTAAGAGTCTCATAAATGTTGTCTAATGATGAGTAATTTTTAATGAGTATTATGATTTACAACTTAAGTCTATAAATATTGAATTATTGTTGTATTATACTCTTTCTTTAACATAATTCAAGGTTCATGATTGCACTAATTAAAATTAAATTATTTTGAAAAAAAATTCTACAGGCGTCTACTTTAAACGTACCATAACACAAATTAACCTTCAATATTGTATTCAATATTCTACATATTTTATTATTTCTGTTTTTGTCAATAGAATATTTAAATAATGATGAATAATACTTTTCACAATATCAAATACCTATTACAAAAATTGTCTATATTTTAGAAAGGCTATAAGTTGCACAAAAATCATCCGATATTTATTGACTCCCATCCGTTTTAACGGTTATATTATTGATAGATAATTAATATTATAAATCGTTACACAAAACTTTATTTATATTATTATTTTGATAGTATGAACAATGAGTATTTCGATAATAGAATATATTTGGTTTTGATTCATTTAATTTTATCGTACCAATAAGACTTATTGGACCAAAATCGGGCCTATAAGTTAAGGAGTCAATAGTGACTAACGAGCGATAACTTATTGATTCAATACGGTATTATGGCTTTGTGCTGCAATGTATTTTAATTATTCTCGATTCAATAACTAAATTTAATGGACCAATAACTAATTATTGAACCAATATTTTATTATTGAGATAAAAATCTAAACATAAAACTGTTTAAAAATGTGTTTTTATCAAAATGATTGATCTAAGTAAATATATACGGGTACCGGGGTACCTGATATATTATTATATAATAATAATGATGTTATATACAAACATATATAATATACCATATATACATGAATTATGGGACATCCCTATACTTAATATTATACACGGTATACTGTGAGCGAAGAGTCTACTATAGTTACCCTAATTGTTATTTGAGGTAATAGTCCTGGTTATACGATAAAGACGACAATTTTTTATCAACCCATAATCTGCTACTTTTTTAATTACATAATTAATTTCTATATTATGGTTATTGTAATTACATATTATTTTATCAGTGTTTTAATTTACATATTGCCACGGACTAAGATATACTAAGATTTACTAAGATATCTTAGTCAGGTAGTCCGTGATAATTTTTATGTAAAGTACCTAAAAACTAAAGTATAGTGCATAAATGTTTGTATTGTGGTTTCACATTTATCACGGTTTCTTGCAATACCACACTTTAACCTACATGTAACCACTGTGGTAACTATAGTATGCTCTTCGACAACACTTTAAATTGTATTATGTATGGTTATATACTCATAATATATATTATATATATAAATATTATATGTATGTGTGTATATAGGTACAGGATAATTTTTTCAGCTTACTCGTCCCATTTTCGTTATTATAGAAGGACTATCCTGTGGAGATACAAACATAAAAGATCTAAAAATCAGAATATTGTAATAAATGTGTAGGTAATTAACTCAATTAATCGTATAAATGGGGTAAATAACACTATTTATTATTAAATAACATGTAATATGTGCTTCATAATTGTACTAGCAATCTATAAATAGTACAATTATATGATATTATGTAGGATGTGTGTGTCATGTTTTGGGCAATCTGTGCGGTGAACAAGCCACTGTTGTTTCCGAACGAAATGAACAATTGGATACCAGATTGGTACAACCACGCAGTGCATACCAATCCGATAGTGTTAACCCTGTTCGATATGGCCACCACCAAACATCGTCTACCCAAACTAATCGAATCCACGGCGGGGCTGTTCACGCTGTCCGGCTCATACGTCACATGGTAAGATCCTCACACCGTTAATAATATCGATTACCTACCCAGTCATATTTATTTCAATGTCTGTTGATAATTGTTACGGCGATCTAGTATAATATAATTAAATGGCCACAAAAAAAAAAAATAATAATATAAAAATAGCACTGAAAAACAATCCACAATATTACACTCTATAATGTATAAATATAAACGAATAATGCGATTAATTATTTCGAACCATGTGCGTGCACATTTTCAAGGGTAAACACAACTTATAAATTGAACTTGAGATATAATATACATATTGAATTTTATATACTACGCAGAAGTAGATATATGATTTTAATTTCAGTACCTATTCTACTATATATAATGACACTTAAATGACAATCGCGTCTTCAATCCACAATAATTCTACAGACAATAATATATAATTAAACATGTACATTGTACATGTACTTACCTCATATTGCATTACTTCCCATGATTGAGTAACATATTGGTTGACATATTGATTGCGATTATGCATATATACATAGACATAAGTCGTACTTAAATAGTACCTATGGAAGAATTACGCAATTTGAGAAATCGTGTATAGGTATTTTAATAAAATGAAAAATGCTCAGTTCTTTTCAAGATAATTATTACCCAAATCCATCGAAATTGAATATTTAAACGAAAAATGACGGTTACCTATTTGGAAATCAAAAAAAAAAAAATTATTATTGAAGCTTTTTGTTACTGCTTGTCTGCATGTATTCTTATTTGTTATACATAATGCAATTATTAAAATATTTAAATTAATTTTAAGCTACATTTATACGAAGAACTTATTCATACCGTACAATAACAGCTGTAGTAATATTCTATGAAATAATATTTTAATAATTATTATAAAATAGGTGTAATGTATATTAAGCTATTTATTTTTTTGTAAAAATTAGTTCAATCTAGCTTAATACTTCCAAAAAATAATAGATAAATAAACTGTTAGTATAAATATATAATGATATATCCTAAAAAAAAGACTGAGGGTCTTAGCTCAGAATCATTTTTCATCATAAACACAATATTACAATGTTTTATCATTGAATTCAAATTTAACACAATCCATTACAGTGACTTACTAAATGACGCTGGTTTATTCGACACCTACTATATAGATAACAAATAATTTCAGTATTTTAGTAAAATTTGATATATTTCAACATAATCTTGATTTTAAATATTTTATTTCCTTAAAGAGAAATACTGGGCCTCATTGAAAACAACTCAAATTCACCTAACTAGTGTTTATTAATTTTAAATAAATATTAGAAACTTTAATAAGGTTAGCTTGGGCATTTGGTTAGTTGGTAATAATAAATAACCTTGTGATAAAGAAAATACCTAATCTAAACTTTTAGCTATCAGTCAGTAATAGGTAATATCTAATAATAAGATAATAAATTGGGTCAAGAACAAGAAATCATAGATCATAGATTAGTAATAGTTTTGTTTGGTTTGAATTTGAACTTTAAAATACCTCTTATACACCAAATGACCCAAATACTTCTTCTTTTATTGATTACCTATATAATATTATAACTTTTAAAGACATCCTAAAAATTAAAATTAAAATACCCAGTTCTTTTCATAATATTGATTGGAGAATTCATTGATTTGATCATAGTTATTGTAGTAATTAAAAACTAATAACTACTTGAAATTTTCACAAATATTAATATATACTAGCATTTTACATACATGGTAGAATTTTCGAAATATGTTGTCTGTTTTTGAGCTATTTATAGACATTTGACATTTTTATTTTATTTAGTTTATTTTATATAAATATTGATAAAAAAATTTTAATTTGATCAAAAATCTTGAAAATGTAATGCAAGTTCCTCATAAGTTGTTATTATAGGTTATTTATAATTTTTAAAGAAACATATTAATTTTTTTTTATACGCCTATGAAGTTATATACGAAATTCGTCAAAATTACAAAATTTTAAAGAGAAATAGGCATTGAAACATTATATTTTCAAATTCTTCAGATTATTGTACTACTTAATAAGTGTCATGTGTGCTGTGGCGATGCAAACTTCTGTTTTTCAAATGATAACCTAGCTTTTTTACTGTAGGTAAATTATTTAGTAGATCATTTATTTTTTTTGAATTTTGATTAAATAATTCAAAACGTTTTTCAGCTACTAAAATTTTGATATTAAGAAAAATAGTCCTTAACAATGATTTTACAGAAATAAATTATAGATTTAATATCGTATTCGTATATCTAGTATTTCTTATACTTGGACTATTTTTTCAAATTATGTGTTAAGACATTCAAAACATGAATGCAATACAGTATTAATGTTGATACAATAATATAAATCACTACAATTTTAAAATCACCATAGTCCTGATATCGTCGAAACTCATTATCATGAGGCATTATCATTATTTATCCGTATATGTAAAGTTAAATATTTCAAACACAAGGCACTGGTTATAATTTTGATTTTGATACCCCACAATTTTCAGGAAAATTATCCATTAAATAATGTACTGTATTATAAATGGGGATTCTCATTTGAAATATGGAAGTTTATATCACCACAGGACACTCCTTAATAAGTATAAAAATCTCGAGAGTTTGAAAATACCGTCTTTATGTTAAAATTATATAAATCAGATTTTGAATGACTGAATTATTGAAGAAAAAGGGGGTTGAAGTAGCTTGTCGAATCACCGTGTATAACCCTAATTTTTCTGTTATAGACATTTTAATCTAAGAGTTGGATGAAATTATACATTTAAACGAAGAATAACGATTTTAGTTATTTTTTTATGAATCAATGTATGTCATAAACTCATAACGAATGTAATTCGTGGGTATTTGAAACTTTTACTTACATTATTATATATTATATTATATACCTACAACGTCATAATTACATTTTCAAAACATTTAGAAAAATAATTGTATGCTTTTGCCTATTAGATTCTGAGCGGAGCGAGAAAGCTAGTGGTTTTACAACGTTTTTTTTAATTTTATCCTGTATACAAATTTTCTACCGAAAGGAGTCCTTCGATTTCAACATATAGTACCTTATCTTTTAGCAAATTGGATCAAGATGATACTTTAAAGAGGTCATTTTCCGATTTTCTCAATCGTTATTTAATGCCAAGGGAAAAACCACCGAAAAATTACGAAAAATCGCTAAAAATTGGATTTTAATTTATAACGGTTTATCACCATAGAAATGAATAAACAATTATAACATTATAATATTAATTCAACTTACAGGCTATAATAAATAATAACAATATAAAAAATCCAGACTGACAAATCGTCTCCCCTCAGAATCGTTTTTCTTATACAATGATATCATATCATTGAATTCAAGTTTATACAATCCATTAAACATTGACTCCCTTTTAACCTACTGTACAGCAGAGCGACATCCACTTACCCGCTTTTTATACTATGAACCTATTAAATTGACTATATATTATGTTCCTGGCTTACCTTGTCTAAAAAGTTAATTACAATAAGAAATACAATGCTTTCGGCAAAAATTAATTCAACCTTCCGTCTTACTAAAAGTAAAATAAATTATTATAATGGTAATACCTATAAATGTTAGGTAAGTACTTAACTAGCAATAAATACCGACTGCTTGTTTTCGCTCAAAATCATTTTTCGTAGTGATTTGTCATTGAATTAAAATTTAACGCTCTCATTATAGTTTATAGTGATTTACTCAATGCTAGGTACCTACACTTGTCACTTTATTACTGTACAGCTGCACAGCGGTTACTTATACTTGCCACTTTTTTATGCATGGCTATTAATTGATTGTTAACTGTAACTGACTATAGCTGGTACATGTATGTTTATATTTCTAGTTTACTTTATAATAAATTTACAACTGGAAGATGGGTGTATCTTATCATCGGAGAAGTTACAGCAAGTTTGATGGAAGTGATAATTTACTTTGCAGTAACGGCTTTTATCATGCCATTTATGTGTTTGTTGATTGGTCACAAAATGTGTTCATGGTTTTCAAGTATGTTTAAACTTAAAACATTACAAATATTTTTTTGGCTTTTTCGAATAAATAAAAATGTGCTGTTTTATTAGGATAAATAATAATCACTACTTAAAATTAATTTTCAGGCTCACAAATGAAAGGAAAACATAAAATGTCTTAAGAACAATACAAATATTCATAAAGTATTTATATGATAAATAATAGTCAAACCTTAATAACATAGTATTACGTACACTATTATTTTTGCAACAACGTTTACCAAAATAAATATTCTTGATTTTATTTATTAAGAACAAGTATCTAATAACATATTATTGACTATAAAATGTCATACAATTGTATTTGTATATTACTGCTTAATTTTTAAATTTTATAATTTGTAATTATGTTAACATACAGAAGTACAGAACACATTTAAGATGATTAATCGTCACAAAGCCAGTTTTGGTGATGAACAAATGTTTTATATTTTATATAATGGGCAAATCAAATGGTGTGTTGATGTGAAGTGATATTAATTATATTATTTAATGTATTATTTTTATTATAATAAATAGTTACCTAAATTAAAATATGTATTATTAGTCATTGCTAAACTAAAATTGCTCAATCATTTGTTTATCTAATAAATAAAAAAAAATTGCATTAAAATTAACTATTATGTGAAATATATGAAAATATATAAAAGAGTTTTGAATGTTATGGTGGTGTACTATAATAAAATATGTACCTACTGTAAGAAAACAATTTTTTTTAACATTGAATACAAATTAAATTTCGTTTTAGATTATAGGTACTTTAATATTTTGCCTATACTGTATAGACTATATATATAATATAATAGATAGTACCTAAACAAAATGTGTGTGTAAATTATCAAAACGATTTTTATTTATTCAAAATTGCATTTAACTAATTTTATTAATATTATAAATTGCTGTTATTAACTTTAATGTTTGTATATTATGTTGTTATTTTCTAAAATATAAGTTTAGGTTGTACGTCAAATTCTCACATGTATAATATAAATTATTTTTATATGTCAATGTTTGTTAAAATTATGATTAAGTATTTATATCATAGTTTATAAAATACATTTTAAATAAGATGAATAAAAGGTAAAATAAATTTTGATAGGTACTTTAATAGTCTATTGTTTATTTGTTCTATTTATATGTTTCTAGATTCTGAGTGAAGAAAGGCATATTTTAATGAGTTTAATAATATACTTTTTATATGATGATGTTTTGTGCAATATTTTGGGTAGAGGGGACAGCTTAACGCTTGTAGTGCTAAAAATGTTCCATGTGTAATCATGTAGGTAGTTTAATTATACCTAGTTAGCAGCATAGCACGTTTGAAGAACCTAAATCGAGTATAGATGGTACTTCGAAGAGATAATTTTCTCAACAGCACTTGATCTATGTCTAAAGAAAAACTACCGTCATCGTCAAAAGTGTTAAATTATTTAATGCAAGCAAACGCTGTTCGTAGAAATGTCAGCAATTATTGAACTATAGTGCAAACGAGTTTTTTTTTCACTAACTTCCGCTCAGGGATCACAATTATTTTTTTAATGTGATAATTTATCATTTCTTTTGAATCGAATATAACAATACAAGCCAACATCCTGCAGCGAGACCGACCGATGTCGACCAGTCTGTTTTATCCTGTCCGGCTTTCAGGTTTAATTGTTTAATACTGAAACATAGACACTCGAATGAAACTATTTTATACATTGAATTGATACCAATACAGACATGGCTCCCTGTTAGACTGCAGTAGTTGTCAATTAATATTGATCATTGTATAACATTATATTATTATAATGCGTATCATCGTTTAATTTGAAGAAATTTATTAAAAAAAATGTCCCGAAAAGGGTCCCGTTAGAACAATTAATAATACGTTATTAAGTAATATAATAAACTACTGTATATATTATTTATTTTTACTGGTTGAGTTCTTTTTGATAAATATGATTACATTAGATCATAAATGTTCCCTCTGAAGCCAGCTTGAAATGCCTTTTTTAGAAGTAGAACATGATAAACGCTTTTAAACGCCTTTTTATATCTAAAAAAATACTAAAAGTTTTACTATTGGAATCTAAGTTTTCTTGTATGAATTTATCGAACAGAGCAGATAACTAGTAAGGCATCATTAGTCGATCTATCAGGTAAAAATCCAAACTAATTTATTGAGAAACATTATTTTTTATTCAGGAACTGTAATATTCTACTTTTTATGCATATTACAAATATTTTTGAAATAGATAGTTATAGAGCTATTGGGCGATAATTACTGCATTAAAAATATATGATAATAAAGGGTAAGAAATTGTCTTAGCAGTTTTTTTTATATAAAATTAGTTAATCCTTACTCAAAAAATGAAGTTGGTTTTTGGGAGGGGGCGGAGTGGCCGAGCAGACTAGGGCGTCGGTTGTGACGCGCAGCTACGCCGGTTCAAACCCCGGCCATGGGCAGCGTTTTTCTTCGGCCAAGTAACGGTGTCAGTGTGGAGAGATATGCCGCCATCCCCAACCCAGGCATGGCAGAAATCTACGAGTGCCCAACTTGAAATTCTGCCAAACCTAAGAACATGTTTCAACCAACTGCTTCGACCGTCCCCCACACTATAAAACAACAAAAACAGCTAATATCCATTGTTACCGGTCTTCGATTTCTGTTTTTAATAGAAACAATTAATCCTTGAGTTAATCATTCTTTAAGAATTTTTTATTACGATGTTTAAGTGAATCAGTAATATTGTAAGACGAGAGCGAGAAAAGTTGTTTAATTGTTATTAAAATGTTCATATTATGCTTTACTTACATAGTTATGACATAGTATATTATCCCAATTTCCAATCTTGAATACTAATGAGCATATTTAAGTGTATTTATTATAACTCGTCACATAAACATTATTATTAAAACGTTGTGCTTACAACTTTATTTACTTTTTCACTTGGTAAAAGTGTAAAACATATAATTGGACAATATGCGAGTAACAATACATAATTTTATGGTGTAATTAAAGTGAAAGATGATATATCTCTTGAACAGATTTCAGTCTGTTTGGTATTACAATTATTGTTTAGCTGATTTAAAAAATTTAAATTACATAGGTACCTGTTAATATCATTTTGAAATTTTGTTCGATTTCGGCCTTTTCGGGAACATGTTAGATATTGGTATATGTCAGAGTTGAGATGTTTAAAACATTTTGTTTTAAACACTTGTTTAAAACATGTTTTAAACATCTAAATTGATCAAACATGGTTTTGTTTAAAACGTTTAAAACAAATGATTTAAACAACATAAAAAAAAAACAGTTTAAAACAGAAAATCATCATTTATGTGCATATAACTTATTATTTGTAAGTTCATACTGGCAACTCCTATTTATTATTATTTTTTATTTCATAAACAAGTTTAAAATGTATAACATTTATAATGATAATTTTACTTATTTAAATTACTAACACTTCAATGGTTATATAATATATTACTTCTGTAGTTCTGTAGGTAATATATTTATTAATTATTTATTTATTTGTTCAAATTACATACCAATAAATAACATAACAATTACTAATTAGTAATTAGTTGTATTCCAACATAAAAAAAAAAAAAAAAATATATATATAAATTAATATCAACTTGATAGGTAACATAATATTTAAATATCATAATTGTCTTAATAGTTAATTGCATATCTTAGTCCGTGGCGCAAACCCTCCAAAATTTAAAACAGTAAATACAGTAATCAGTATTCTTTATCACGATGTAGATAACAGATCAGTTCTTTATCATCAATCATTATCAAAATATTCAAAAACGATTTTTAAGTGTAAAACCGATAGCCGTGGTTAAATTACACGTCAAGTTATAAAAAAATTATGATATTAAATTATTAAATAAATGATTTTTTTTAAAAATAAAATACATTTTTTGTTTTAAACTCGATTAAATCATGTTTTAAACATGTTTAAAACAGCTGAAAAACTCATTTTAAAAAAACATGTTTTAAACAAAAAAATCATGTATTAAACGATTAAAACAATTTTTTTGATTTTTTTAAAAAAATCATGTTTTTAATCAACTCTGGTAAATACAGTAATCAGTATTCTTTATCACGATGTAGATAACAGATCAGTTCTTTATCATCAATCATTATCAAAATATTCAAAAACGATTTTTAAGTGTAAAACCGATAGCCGTGGTTAAATTACACGTCAAGTTATAAAAAAATTATGATATTAAATTATTAAATAAATGATTTTTTTTAAAAATAAAATACATTTTTTGTTTTAAACTCGATTAAATCATGTTTTAAACATGTTTAAAACAGCTGAAAAAATCATTTTAAAAAAACATGTTTTAAACAAAAAAATCATGTATTAAACGATTAAAACAATTTTTTTGATTTTTTTAAAAAAATCATGTTTTTAATCAACTCTGTATTATATACATATCTATGGTATTAAACAAAAAATTGACCTATAATAGGTACCTATAATAAATTCCAAATTAATCATATCACAATATCCATTAGATACTTATAACGCGTTATACATCAACAAAAACCGTGATACTATCATAGATATATAATAGTACACTTTAGAAGTTTCAAGTACCCACGAATAGTATTATTCAATCATAACAAAATAACTAAAATCGTAATTCTTGGTTTAAATATGAAATTTTGTCTAAATTTGAAATTAAAATGTCTGTAAAAAATAAGTGTGTTTATATATTTTTTAGATTTTTTGGTTACAGTATGAATTATTTAAGAGAATCTTTGTTTTAAATTTTCAACTCTTAGTTATAAAAACTGAACATTTTATAATTTTTTAATTCCAACGATTGATAATTTTTGAGATTTTGATAAATTTTGTCAAAATTCCAACTTTAAATGCTTATAAAAAAAAATCGTGCCAATGTATTTTTAATATTTTTCAACTGATATTGTAACAATATATCAGGAGCCTTGTAATAAATTTTTACACTTTTTGGCCCAACAGATAAAACTTTATTGATATTTATAGAAAAAAATACTAAAAAAAATTGAAAGCTGTAAATGTCCATAAAGAGCTCAAAAAGAGTAAAAATATTTTCAAAATTGTATGGTGTATAGGAAATGCTAATATAAACA